GCGGCGGCGGCAGCGCCGGCGGCGGGGCCTTCGGCTCGCGGGGCACCAGCCCGCCCAGCGAGGGCAACGGCCCCGGACCGCTCCTGGGCGCCGGCTTGGGGCCGCTGGGCTCGCCTCGCGGCCTGTTTGGTGGGCCGCTGTTGATGCCCGCGGATCCTCTGCTGGGAATGGGGCGCCTTTCCGACGGGGAGGGCCCCGGGGGCATCCTGCCGGGCGACGACGGTGACGACGACGACGACGACGAGCTCCTGGGGATGTCTCCCGACGGACCCGCGCTGCGCTCGACCGCCAACGGGCCCTTCATCCGCCAGCCCGGCTTCGGAACGTTCCTGAAGCAGCATGCGGCCAAGGGCGCGGTGGCGGCGGCGGCGGGGCCGGCGCCTGACGCCGCCGCCGGCGCTGCCGGCAGCCCCGGGGACAGCGGCGACCTTCCGCCGGCGCCGTCCTTTGCGTCTGGCGTTGGCGAGCCGGTGCTGTAGCTGTAGCGCTTGGCTTCGGCTGTAGCTTGGCGGCTTGGCGGCTTTCTGTGCTGTCGCTCTCCTGGTCAGCGGCTTGGGCTTGGAATACTACTGGGTTGGCTGGCTCGGGGAGTAGCCGCGGCGGCGATTGGCGGCCGCGCCTTTTGTCGACACTGCTACTGCGGCCGCTTCCGCTTCCGCGTGCCACACTGCCGCCGTGGCTGCGCTTGTGCTGGCGCTCATTCTCATCTTGTGTCAGCGCCGTCGCGGGCACTAGAGACACGTGCCACGAGACACGTGTTTGAAGTACTTACTCGAGAGAAACGGTGTGGGTTGCGCACTTGCCCCGTCCAGGGATTGGCTTTGGCATAAGCTGCTGCTGCTCGGGTTCTCACCCGCAGGGCTTTGGAGGATGCAGGGTTTTAAGTGCCGCAGGGTGCATGAGGTTGGGGACGGTCGGGCAGGAGGCATCATAAAGGTGGGCACCACGCACCAGCGACCAGGAGAGGCAGAGGAGGCGCTCGTGGGGTCGTGTGCTGTGCTGTGCTGTGCTGCGTTGTGCTGCAAGCGATTGATAGCAAGTCGCGCGTGGGTTCCTGTTGTTGTTCGACGCTCTGCTTAAAATGGGGAAAATTGGCCTTCCAGAGGCCGCGGCCGGACAAGGGCTCGGTGGCTGGCTTGCGCGGGGTGGCTTGTCGGCTTGACCTCACCTCACCTCGGGCCACGTCCCTCCCGCCGGTCAACGGCGGCGGCTCCGCGGGCGTGTTGCAGCGCCGCCACGCCTCGCTCGGCCCGGCGCGGCGGCACAGGTGGCACCGGTGGCGGCGAGGGCCGCAGAAGCAGGGGAGGACAGGGAATGGGGGCGGGTGTGAGGTGTTTGGCCCGCGAGAATTGGCACGGGCACGCCGTTGCGGTACGTGGGCCGCCGGAGAAAGAGAAGGAGTCGCGGCGAAAGGGAGGAGCCCCGAGCACAGTCGCTTGGTCGGCTCGGCAGATTATACAATACCTGTGAATGCCGGGAAAGTACTTTTGATTTGGGTTTGTTGCGTGAGACTAATTTGGCCCGGTTGAGGCATTTTTACGCCATGGTGGGGAGGAGGATAACTTGCGTGCTTACGGCGCCGGGTGGAGGGAAGTAGGGGAGGGCATCCACGACGGGCCGCAGGCTCCGCCCCGCGGCTCCCAGCCCTCCCCCTCACTCCGCCGCGCCACGGCTGTTCGTTGCTTTGCCTAGGTATCGCACAAGAACGAACCGCTTTCTGAACGCTCCCATCCCCCCAACACACTTTTTGCTAGCAGGCTGCGCTGCTGCCACGTCGGGCGACGAAGCAGCTACCCTTTTCACGCGCCCCTTGCGAAAGGCCATATAACTACGCCCGCGGGCGCAGCAGACGCGTTTACGTTGTCGTAGAATCCGATGACTACTACAAGCACTTTTACAAATTGTTAATACGGACCTGCCGCGGCCGATGGCCGCGGTGGCGTAGGCGGCGGTGGTGGGGACTTGGCTTCGATCTGCGGCTTTGGTAGGCGGTTTTCGGGGACACAGCTCGCGCGCGGAACGTGGTGGGAGCAGGAGGCGGGCATTAAGAGAGGGGAGAGATGGAGGGAGGGCAGTTTGGGGTTGGGGGTTGCGCATCAACGGCACGAGAGAGTACCAAACGGTGGCTGCGGTGGACCGCACCGGAGCGAAGCGGAGCGGCTGCACTCGGAGGGCTGCCATTGGGCCCTTTTGTGCGTACCGGTATTTGGCTGGCGCCACACTGCTCCGTCGGCACCGACCCACGGGTCATGTGTCCGTCCATGTTCTGCCGTGCATGCAGCCCCGGCCTCCCTGTCTCCTGCCCCTTGCCCCTTGCCCGTGGGGTGCTGCTGGAACATGCAGCCGCCTGAAAGTCGCGAACCCGACGGCGTCGCGGCCTGAGCACCCCTGAATTTGTGGTCATCGCGCTCTTACTTACTAGCGCCGGCCGGTCCTGCTTTTGCTTGTGCGAGTGCTTATACAGATGTATGTTGCCGGCGCCGGTCCCCTCCTAAACGAATAGCGCATGTGGAGGTGGTGGAGTTGGTAGTGTTTCGGCGATCAAGTTCGGCTCGAGATGAGGTCTTGCCCGTTGTATGCCACTGCGGGGCAAAGCCCAATTGGCTGTTGGCTGCGGGAAAGTGTGTTTGGGGGGAGAAGGCGCTGCCGCGGGGCCAGCGCCGGGGAACGGGAATGTAAGGCCCGCGGTGTGCGCGCGCGGGTTTGCTGCCGTACACCGCTGCCGTGCACTCTGCGGTGCGCGGCGCGCGGCGCGTCGTCCCTGTTTCCCCCGACCAGGCGCAGCAGGCTCGCCCGTGTTGCGGTGGTAGCCATTGCAGCGCGGAACTGTCCTTCGCTCGACCCCCCGGGGGTTTTGCAGACCCACGGCATTGTTGAGCCGCATCCCCCGGGGTGTGTCGCCTGACCCTTTTCATGCGGGTAGTAAACCCGCTCTTGGGATAACCGCTGGTGGGTTTCAAACTTGGATCTCAATATGCCGCTTTGTGTCCGGGTTGGTTCGCCCCTCGGCTGTTTGCTCGTTTTGTCTAGGCAAGAACTTGCTTCCGTGCTTTCACTGCGTATGTTTGTGCGCGCGCGCGTTTGTGCGCATCTCGTTGCGTGGGTTTGTGGGTGGTTTGGATTGGATTGGTGCTCCGTGCATGGTGTTCGGTGCGTCCGTTCTTTGGCCGCGGCGCGGCGCGGCACGTCGCCGACGGTGCGGCGGCCGTAGACGCGGTGGCAGAGGCACGCGGAAGCGGCCGCAGCAGTGGCCGCGGCGCGGCACGGCGCCGACGGTGCGGCGGCTGTAGACGCGGCGGCAGTGGCACGCGGAAGCGGCCGCAGCAGTGGCCGCGGCGCGGCACGGCGCCGACGGTGCGGCGGCTGTAGACGCGGCGGCAGTGGCACGCGGAAGCGGCCGCAGCAGTGGCCGCGGCGCGGCACGGCGCCGACGGTGCGGCGGCTGTAGACGCGGCGGCAGTGGCACGCGGAAGCGGCCGCAGCAGTGGCCGCGGCGCGGCACGGCGCCGACGGTGCGGCGGCCGTAGACGCAGGCGATGTAACGCCTGCGCCGACGCGGTCCGCGAGCCCGCCGTCGTGTGATCGCCCGATCGAAGTCGGGCCCCCATTCGCTTCCTGCGGAGGGCGGGGCGGGGCGGGTGCCGACGGCGCAGCTTCGCGCCGGCGACGATGGGACCCTTGTGATTTTCTATCTAGACCGTGGGTGTGGTTTGGGACGTCGGCATCTTTGAAAGGAAAGAAAGCGGGCAAAGGGAGGAGATGGGAGGCACGAGGGGGGATTTCAGGAGGGGTTTCAGGAAAGGCAGGGCGTGTTTGGCCGCCAATGGGTCGGGCACACGCTGGCCGGCTTGATGGCGCGTTTTGCGCTGGTAGGTCCCTGGATGGGAAGCAGCGGCGGCGAGGCTCCGGAGGGAGGGTCTGCGGCTGGTCTTAAGACTGGCTGTTTGGATCTTGCTGGGTCCTGGGTGCGTGTGGGGTGTTATCGTATCAGGGCGGCAGGGTTTGTTCGGGCCATCCAAGCTGCTGCGGATGAGGCGCGAGGGGGCGATGCCTCGGCGCGGCGTGCGTGTCCTTCCGTTCCGCGTTGATTCGAAGTGGGTGCCTGCTGGGTGTGGGGTAAGCTGTGCCGGGCTTGTTATGGGAACTGAGCTGGCTCGGTTCGATCGCGGATTGTCGGGTTCCGGGCACGGCGGGTCGGGGCGACTGTACGTCTTATGTCTACTGCACGGTATGGTACGACAAGGCACGAATGAGCGCTCGGAGCGGAACATCACATCACCCGTCGTCGGAGGGGAAGGGGATGAGCTGCGGCGCCGTTTGAAGAGATTTGTGGTAGCGGTGATGGGGGAGGGGGAAGGAGGGGGAACGGGGTTGAGATCGGGACCGGCCTGTCAAGCCAATGCATGGCGTGGGGCGGGGGCGGCGACTGAGTCCATTGAGTAACGCACAAGACACGATCCGCATGCGGGAAGCAGCATGCCGCCTTTCGGCCCCTTCTTGGCTGCACGCGGGGAGACGCGGACTGCTCGCATGTCGTTGCAAGCATGCCAGGAAGTGGGGAGGGGTGGTGAAGCTGGGGCTCACGTGTACGGCGTAGCGCGCCTGCTCGCCGGGTCCTGTGTATCTTCGCGCCAGGCAGCCTTGACATTTGACAATGGACAGGCGGGCGGTGGCGGGGTGAGAGTGGTTTGGATTGGATGCCTTTGTAAAGTCCCTCTCTCGACTGCTCCGGGAGCTTTGCGGTCCCCGCTGGCAGCTCGCCCCGCTGGACGGCGGAAGTGTGGCATGATGGCTGCAGGCCTTTGCTCTACTGTCGGAGAGTCGGACCCGACATGTCTTTCTAGTTTACACCATAAAACGGCGAACGTGTAGGGACAGGCCTGACAAGGAGAGCACAGATCTCCTGCATCTAGCGGATAAGTCTACATTGCCCCTACCCTTCTGGGGTCGCCGACTACAATGTGTTAGTGCACTGATCACATGATAACTTCCATACAGTCTGCCGCAGCCTGGGATCGAACCAGAGACCTTTTCTGTTCAAGACAATCGCTCTACTACTGAGCTACAACGGCGCATACGCTACAACGCTACAACGGCGCATATACGAGAAATAAGCCTCTGGGCCAGCTTCTAGGCCAGCCTCTTGGCCTTTCCATTCCCCCCACTCCCACCCACCCACACAGACAAGCAGGCATATCAGCAGACCTGACGGCAACTCGCGAGCTGCAACCGGATGAACCCTGTCCCCCTAGACACTCGAATAGAGCAGTGGAGCATGATGTGGAGGCATTCCGTCTTGCGGCCCCTGTGGCCGTGAGCATCACCAATTCCTCATCGACACAAGCCGTAGGAAAGGGTGATGCGACGCCTGATGCGACCGCAAACAGTCCTTCCCTCACTCTGTGCGGTTTTCTCAGGTAGGAGCACTCTGCACCCGGGTAGTCGTTGACGGTGAAATGAGGAGCGGTTTTGGTTCTGTGCCGGGTTTGATGTGCGTGCCGCAGGCCATCCGCAGGTCTCGTCAGGCTGAGACCTGCGCACCCTTGCATACCGGTAACTAAAGGCAGTGTGTTCGTGGACAAAGACGTGGCAAAAGTAGTACGGAAACAGCAAGCGTCGCGACGCCGGGTGGATTGCATTTCACGACGCAAAGCGTAGCGAACCAAGCTACCTCTGCTGCGGCATCGCTCCACCGACCTGATGAGCCTAATAGACTTGGTGGGGCGGGCGGCGAGCCGGCGACTGGACGGGTGCATAGCTTCATACATGACGGCGAGGAAGCACCCTTGCCACCGGAACGAGACTGGCCGGGGTGCGTGCGTGTTGAGAGTGACTGTGTGTCTGTGTACCAGCCAGCTGCTTTCGTGCAGACCGTGAAAACGTCGAAAAGACTGCCGTTGCTGCTTATTACAACGTAATGTATCGCGCTTGACAACTGTGCCGACGACATCGCCTGTACGGCGTGTACGACCCACGCCAGATCGATCGTCCATCCTGCATGCTTCCACCGTTTTGTAGCGTGTAGGCGTTGGTCGGCAAAGCGGCAGCACGGCCATTTGCGAGATGTGATGGTGTCTCGCAACCCGCCATCTTCCCTTCCATCTACGCCGGCACCAACTGCAGCCGCAGCCCCTCCGCCGCCCCGTCCCCGTCCCCGTCCCCGTCCGCGCCCGGCTCCGTTGCCGTGATGAGGTCCATTGCACTGATGGACAGCAGCTCGCAGAAGTCGGGCGTCAGCTGGCGGCAGGCGTGCACCACCAGGGCGCGCAGGCCGGGGCGGGAGAGCTGCGAGGCGTGCGGGTGTGGGTGCGGGTGTGGGTGTGGGTGTGGGTGCGGAGGATGGGCTGCAGAAGGAGAATATATAATGGGGTGGTTTTGACGGTGTCTTTGACGAGTGTTAGACGCATGTTGGGCGCGTGTTTTGGAGTGAAAGAAAGCGGGAGGGCCGGGGGAATCCAAAATGCCCATGTATGCCGGTAATGGCTTCGGCGCGTGGAGGCCGGAGAGGGAGAGTCTACCTCGGGTGTGGATGTGGACGTGGATGCGGATGCAGGTGAGGTGGACAAATACGTCATGAGAAACGGTATGGGCGGGAACACGTCATGCGGTACGAGGAGGAAGCAATCCGCAAGGGCTGGAGAGGGCGGCGGTCTGCCGGTCTCGGGTCGTGCTAGCTGGACCGGCTACACCCCCTTCGGGGCCCCCCAAACAATCCCCAACCCTAACACAACCCTAACACAACCCTAACACAACCCTAACACAACCCTAACACAACCCTGACACCCCCGCTGCACACCCCTCTCCTGGCCCCCTGAAGGGCCCCAGCACGCCCCTTCCTCTGGAGCCCTCCCCCGACCCACCCCCCACCCTGCTCTGCTTTGATACCGTTTACGGGCCCCGGCCTATACGTGGATAACCCCCCACCCCCACCCACCCACCCACCCCCCCAACCCCACCCACCCCCCACCCCACGCACCACTTGCTCCACCGTGCCTGGTGTCACGTGGGGCAGGTGGTGCAAGTAAACCTCCTGCGCGCGAGAGAGTGGAGGACGGACGACAACAGCGCCGCCGCCGCCGCCGCCGGGGGGGGGGGGAAACACGACAGCACCACGAAGATCATGATCATGACAGCTTCGGAGTCAGGACAGCATCCGTGCGTCGATCAGATGGACGAAATTCAGGTTACTTTGATTGGCGGTCGACGACGTCAGGGCGGATTGCAGACCGCTGGGCTGATGCGGGCGTGCGTGTATGGCCAAGGACCAGAGACCAGGGAGGCGGAGGGCTGCTGCGCGTGCGAGCAGTGCGGAGATGTCAACAAGGTCTGCAGTTCGAGATGAGGTGTGCGTTGCGCGCAGGCGCCTGGCGCTTTCTTATACCGTATATATATAGGCAAAAGCAACTATATATATATCAGCAACGGGCTGATACGCCTTCTTGGGAGCAATGGAAAGCTGCATGGTGGAATCTGCATGCGTGCGATGCACGGCTTTACGTTTGTGTGACTGCTTCGTGCACGTGCGCGTGGCGGTACGGTCGCGTGAGGCGGCCGCGGCGGCGACTGCAGCGGCAAGACAGGCAGACAGGCATGCGGGCAGGGAAGGCAACGGCATCCCGGCGCTGCGTGCCTGCTGCTCTTACATACCTTGAGCCTTGGCAGCATCTGCAGGAGCAGCTGCAGACCTGCGGGCCGGAAGTCACAGCACCGGACACACCACACACGCAGGCGGGAACACCCGACGGTGTTAGCAGGGCTCACACGCAGGGCTGCACCACCTTGATTGACCAGCCACTCTCGGGCATACCGTAGGTGCACAGGAGCAAAGAAATGTGACATGAGGTGTGGAAGTACCGTAGAGCAGCAACAACGAAGAAGGGCTGCTGTCAGGTCCGTTTGGTCCGCCTACTTTGTGGTGGCGGGCACTGGTGGCGGTGCAGCTCCAGGAGATAAAAAAAGAGTGGAAGCTGCTGCTAGGGTAGCGTAGAGCGAAATGGTACGTTCGGGCAGAGGCACCAGACGTGAGCACGTGACACGGCGAGTTCGCGGCGAGTTCTCAGCACCGGGGTGCACCCGGTTATGTCGACGTGAGGCTAGGAAGGAAGGAGGGAAGGAGGGAAGGAAGGAGGGTATGAAGAACAATCGCAGCGGAGAAGGAGACGGCGTTAGCGAAACCCAAGGAGGGAAGGAAGCAGAAATGGTTTGTGGGAAGGCAAGGGCAAGGCGGCGCGCGCTGGCAAGGCGACGCCGCTCAGTCGGAGAGCGCGAAAAGCGCGTCGTCCCCTCTACCAGGGACCTCCTCGGGGCCGTCCATCAAACGGACGTTGCCCAATCCAACAGAGAACCTCGAGAACCGTGTCGTTCCCCCGTGTCGTTCCGCCGCCTCCGCTCTGCTCTCAGCCTCTCTCACCATTGTCACTGAGGATGCAGTCGGGAGCCGAAGCCGGAGCCGGAGCCGCCGCCCACTCCCCCGCCTGGGCCGCCTGCCACACCGCCGCCGCCACCGCCGCCGCATTGACCGCCGCCACGCCCCCACGCGCTCCATGCACGCGCTCCTCGTCGAGGTCGCCGCCGCCACCGCCGCCCCCACCGCCGCCGCCGCCGCTGTCGCTCCGGACGACGGCGATCGGCGGCGCCCACCGCACCGCCGCGCCCGCTCCCACGTCCACGTCCCATCCAGCCCGTTCCGCGGCGGCGGCGCTGCCGAAGCCGCCAGGGCCCCACACCGGCAACGCCGGTGCCGGCCACGGGCTGCCTTGCCGTACCGTGCAGCCAGCGTCGTCGTCGTCCATGCCGCCGCCGCCGCCACTGCCGACGGCGTCGTCGGGGCTCGGGGAGCCGGCGCCGGCGGCGCCGCTGACGCTGCCGTGACGGCGACCCAAGGGTTCATCTGGGGAGAGCACTGGAATCAAGTCCCTACGGCAGACGCTGACGCCGACGCCGCCGGCGCCGCCGTCGGAACACGCCTTCCCAGCTCCCTCCTCCACCTCCTCCTCCCGTAAAGTATTAAAACCCTGCTCGCCCTCCACCTTGTCCCAGCTCCGGAGATCGGCTGCGAAGGATCCGTTCGTTGCGCCGTCGGTGGCGGTAGCGGTAGCGGGGGCGACGGGTTCGGTGGCGGCAGCAGCGCCGCCGCCGGTCCCCCAGGTATCCCACTCCCCGCCGCTGTTGGAAGAGCACCTGTGCCACACAGGAGAAGAATATCGAGATAAACATCTAGATCAAGATCCGGGCAGGAGATCCGGAAAAGAAGAAACGGAGAGACGTGAGCCACCGCAACAAAAGCACACCAGGCACAAGCGCACGCGCGAACGCGTACGCGGTACATTCTCCTTCCCCCCTTGCCCCCTCCCGCGCTGATACGGGCCTAAGTCACGCATTGTGCGGCAAGCCATTGCGAGACGCCACCGCCACCGCCACCGCACTCGCCCCCCCACCCCTACACCGCTACATCGCACCGCACTCGCCCCACCACCGCTACACCGCCACCGCACCACGCCACTCACCCAGCTGGCCCCGCGGCTGCTGCTCCCCCCGGCGCTTCCTTCTCCTCCTCCTCCTCCTGCTGCTGCTGTTGCTCATCCTGCTGCTGCCACTGATGACCCTGCGGCTCCTCCGGCTGCTGCCAGTGCGACAAGGGGCGGTCCCAGCCCGTGGCCGCGCCCCCGCCGCCGCCGCCGCCGTCGTCAGCGCCAAAGACGTCATCCCAGCGCGTGTCGTTGCCGGCGCCGCCGTCCGTACTGGACCTGTGTGGGGTCCGCCAGACGGGTTCACACGCGACATCCCAAACGTGGGTTGGTTTCTGGTTCTGGTTGGTTCTGGTTGATTCTGGTTGGTTCTGGTTAGTTCTGGTTGATTCTGGTTGGTTCCGGTTGGTTGAATGCATGAAGATGGGATTGTTGTTTGAGCGGGCCGGGCCAGAAGCTTGGCCGGGCTGTGCCGCTGAAGAGCGCGCGATGAAAGGGACGGTAACTCGCACGGGCATCACCGTCCTCCCCATCCCCAACCCCCCGCCTCGCCCCGCCCCAGCGCTGCCCCTGGCCGTAGGCCGTACCTTCGGGACGATCCACTT